ACTGAAATCAGTAATTTTTTGTTCATTATTTCTCTGAGGATGTAGAATTTATGTATAAGCTTTCTTATGTTTGAGGTTAACTTCAATACATGAGGTCCCCATTTAAGGTGTTTATCGATGATAACACCAAGATATTTTGTAGAGTCTACTTCGAGCAATGGGGAGTCTACGTTATTGATGTCAAGCTCTTTAAAAGAAGGGCGATTAGAGGATGTAAGGGAGAAGGCTATATAAGTTTGATTTACTAGCGTTTAATGTTAGTTTGAAAGAGTCTAGCCATGTTTTTATTCTTGAAATACCATGTTTTGCCGATTCCTTCACTTGAGCCCAGGTGTCTCCTACAAATGTAACGGCTGTATCATCAGCATATGATATGATGGATCCATCTTTTATATTCATGTTTGTTAAGGAATTTATATACGTAATGAAAAGTACTGGACCCAGAATGGTACCCTGACGGATGCCAATCTTAACGGTTTGGGGGTTACTTCGGGTGTCCCCTATTTTCACCACCTGCTGTCTGTCTGCCAGGTAGTCTTTAAAGACATCCAACACGGTCCCCCTCACCCCGTAGATATTTAGGACATCCAAGAGCTGTAGGTGAGGTACCGTATCGAATGCCTTTGCAAGGTCTAGGAATACAGTGAGACATTTCCTGTTCTTATCGAGGCATGTTGTTATCTGGGTTGTTAATTCATATATGGCATGTTCAGTACCAAGCCCGTTTCTAAAGCCAAACTGACTCTTCGAAAAAATATCATTAGATTGAAAGAAGCTGACCCATCGGTTTTTAAGACACTTTTCGAAGATTTTTGAAAAATTATTTATAACACTTATTGGCCGAAAATTGGAAATATTCGATTTATCACCTGTTTTGTTTGGGCTTTCCTAAAATAGTTGGTGAAAATGGCCATAAGAAGAAAGTAAATATTAGAAATAGACCTATCTATTTTATCAGACAAAGAGGTAATAATACGAAAACTTCATCAAATAAAAAAAGACACAGAACGTTCATTGCACAAGACGAGGCAAAATGTACCAAATTATGTTAAACTTACGTATAGAAATCCGTCCTTCTTATTTGCACGGGATAAAAAGGGAAGAAGAAAAACCGCGTGTTGTGCAACGTATTTGTCAATGAAAATGTCAAACAACTTTTGAATTACATTTGCCAAGGTGAATATCAACTTTAGATTTATTCTTGTCAGACCACGTGCAATGAATAAGGACAAAGAGATGTCCAGCGTGCAAAACGATCACCTCACACCTGTATTGGCTAGCCAATAAAAAGAAATTGCCTCGTGTTGCGCGCGCATAATAGGTAAAAATAGATAGGTCTATTGTTTTTCATAAATTTATTTTAAATTAATTAGGTATTTATATAAAAAAAAAAACTTAACATTCTGCGAATCTAAACTCAAATTCAAAATTATTTATTTATTTAAAAAAAAAAAAAAACTAAACTTTCTGCTTATCTGAATTCGAACAAACAATATTAAAACTAGAAGAAAACAAATAAATAAAACATTCAAACTAAAGGAAAAAGTGCGAGAATCCGTATTGGCCTTATATCGGTATCGGCCTTCTATAAAGCCATATCGTATCGGTATCGGCAATATCGGTTTTTTGAAAAAAAAACCGTATCGGTCGATCCCTGCTTAGTAGTCATTGGAAGTTTGGCAGTCAGTGGCGCAATTCCGCGTAGTCGCTAGAACTCACTTGGTAGTCACTGGAAGTCGCGCGGTAGTCGCTGGAAGTCACGCGACATTCATTGGTATTCACAACAATTCTGAGGAGTTTAGTCGCGGCATTCACAGTCACTTGCCACACGCTTTTGATCGCGAATTGGATTTGTGCAATATTTATATGGAATCCTCAATAGAAACATTTGTTTAGTTGCTTGACATCATATTTGGAACGTAAGTGACGTAGTAAGCAACATGAAAAAACTTGTAGAAGCCTAGAAGCCTGAGCACAGAGATTCAACGCAGATGAGCGTTCGGAAAATAATTTCTCGACATTTTTTCATAATAATGGAAGCCAAGAAAATGAATCACAATCCCTCGGACAATCCACAATAACGCATATAAAAAATTTAATTCATACTTGTTTTAGTAGTTTTTTATCTAATTTGGGAGACCTTTCAGAAGGCTTAGAAATCAAATGAAAACGATCTCTAGCTAATATAGACAAAATGGATACGATGCCCAGAGTGTAATTTTGTTACTGTTAGTATAGTCTAAATACCCACAAAAAAAGGGTTCATCCACAGTTACCAACTTGTTGGAGTTTAAGCAAACTCTGTTTAATGTATTGGAGGAGGGGTATCAGATGGGCATATACCGACTTCTCCAAGGTGTTTGACACAGTCGACCATAAAGTTCTGGAAAAAAAAGCTGGAAAGTACCTATGGGGTTTCATGAATCATTTTTGAGGTGGGTGATTGACCATCTTTTGGGAAGAAAACAGAGAGTGAAGATAGAAAACTCAGTCTCATCAGAGATTAAGATCACTTCACAATATTTTCTCAAATGACGTTAAGAATGTTTTTAAACACTAAATTTCTCTAAGTCACTATAAAAAATATCCATGATTGTGAAATTTTGCAAGGAGAACTCAACAATTTCTTCAGCTGGTGTGAAGACAATCATTTTTTGAAAGAAGAGGGTGTTTTTCAGTTTAACTTTCTGACAGTTACGAAAACTGTATTATAAGTCTGCAATTTTCTGAAAATGTAGTTACAATAAAACGCTACAAATGCTAAAAATTTCAGTTTATTAGGAGTTATACATATGTACTTAATTCCAGGTACCAGACTATTAAGGGTAAAAAGATGAGATTTTATAATTTGACAATTATTTTGAAAATATTCCAGGCTTCAGAACGACTTCAAATTTACAGTAATTATAAATTGAAGCTTATTTTTTTATAAAGCAGTACAAACCACAGGTCAATATTTATCTCAGATTCTGAGTCATGATTAGGTGATGCATATAAAATGTGTACATTTCTTGGACATTAAACTACCTCTTTCTCAAAAACTAGTCATAGGATCGAGTTGTGCTCATGGTAGTTATTGATCAGAAAGGTGAGATCTATAATATACTAAAATTTGGTTGAATTTGATCACAGTCAGAAATCCCATAAGTAGTGTGCGGGGTCCTTTCAAATTTTACCAGTCCAAATGAGCTGAAATTTTCAGGGATTGTAGTCCTCCACTGAGATAAGAATCGCTGAAAATTTCAGCTTTCTATATTTAATAGAAAAAAAGTTAGGACCTCTCAAAGTTTTCCAAAATTTAAATCATAAGGTAGCTTACCTTCTTACTAAAACAATGAAATTTCAATTTTTTTTTTGTTGAGATTTTGGATCCTAATGGTCACTTAACATTCCCCAAACTCCATACACTAAATTATTTTCAGATTTGAAGCCGAAATCTATGAAAAAAGGCACTCAGAACAATTTTATCTCAGGAAGTACAAATAAGATGAAATTTTCAGGGATTGTAGTCCTTTTATTGAGATAAGATTCAGTGAAAATTTCAGCATTCTATTTATACAGAGTGTCCCCCGGTGGATGGCGTATTAGACGTTTATGAAGAACTAAAAAGCGGATCATTTTAAAAATTTGGCAACCGGAATAAATGAGCATGATCTACACTTTAAAAATATTTCTGTTTATGCGGTGTTGCCGCTTCTACTCTAAACCAGTGGCAACATCGCTATTTTAAATGAAACCCCTTGTATGTGATTGCATATTTAGATTCTATGTAAAATTCTGAGCAGATTTCATGTGATATACCCTATACCTAAGTTCAACTGTTTTGGAAATATTGACAGTTGAAAATTGACTTTTTACAACTTTGACAGGCTGTAAAACCTGAACGGTTAATTTTAGAGGAAAATCAATTTCACATTCCTATTTCAGATTTTTATAAACTATCATTTGACAGCAACTTTGAATTTAACCGGAGATTAAATTTAATTGGAATTTTTAATCATGGATTAAATTCAAAGTTAGTGTCAAATGATAGTTTATGAAAATCTAAGATAGGAATGTAAAATCGGTTTTTCTCTAAAATTAACCCTTCAGGTTTTACAACCTGTCAAAGTTGCAAAAAGTCAAATGCGATCACATACAAGGTGTTCCATTTAAAATAGCTATGTTGCCACTGGTTTAGAGTAGAAGCGGCAACGCCGCATAAACAAAAATATTTTTGAAGTGTAGATCATGGTCATTTATACCGGTTGCCAAATTTTCAAAATGATCCGCTTTTTAGTTCTTCATAAACGTCTAATACGCCATCCACCGTGGGACACCCTGTATTAGGAAAAAAGTTATGGGCCATCAAAGTTTTTCAAAATCTTAATCATAAGGTAGCTTAAAACGATGAAATTTCAAATTTTTTTTTGTTGAAATTTTGTGTCCTAATGGTCCTTTGGGATACTACGAACTCCATATACTAAATTATTCCCAGATTTGCAACTAAAATCTATGAAAAAAGGCACTCAGAAAAATTGATAAATCACCCCAAGTTGCTTGACACGATTTTATTTCTGGAACTATGAGTCCAAATGAATTGAAATTTTCAGGGATTGTAGTTCTCTACTGGGATAAGAATCGCTGAAAATTTCAACTTTCTATCTATAATAGAAAAAAAGTAATGGCACTTCAAAGTTTTCAGAAATCCAAATCAGCCTAGTACTGAATTTATGTCGAGATCCATACACTAAGAAAACTATGAAAAATCTCCAATCATATCGTAGATAGTTATCTGAAATTTTCTGAAAGTGTAGTTGTAGTAGAGAACTACAAATCTTGATAATTTCAATTCATTTGAAATTGTAATTCCAGACAGACAAATCCGTTAAGGCAAGAGGACAAAATTTAAAATTGCATTATTTCAAAAATTGTTGGCTCTACTTGAATCTTATTATCATTGATACATATGTACAAGATGAATGAAACACAATAATTCTCATCTCATAATTATTAATCAGGTACTCCCTCATCATCCTCTGAACCGCCTGAAGTTGAAGAACCTCCTCCTGTTCCGCCTGCAGCAGCAGGTGATGGTAGCCCCACCGGAGCTGGTGGTACCTGGGAGGATGTTGCTGACGAAGATAGTACGGCTTCTGGTAAACTCCCTATCAAAATTTTTTTGACCCCAAAATAAAAATAACGAATTTCTAGGTGCTGCCCAAGCGACAACGCCAGAAGACGATGATGAGGAGATATCCAGCGAAGAAGCGCCCAAATTAAAAAAGAAAAAATCCCCCAAAAAAGTAGAAGTTGAAGACAAAAAGGAACACATTAACGTAGTATTTATTGGGCACGTGGACGCTGGCAAAAGTACCATAGGAGGACAAATTATGGCGCTTACAGGAATGGTGGACAAAAGAACATTGGAAAAATACCAGAGGGAGGCTTGCGAAAAAAGCAGAGAGAGCTGGTACCTCAGCTGGGCGCTGGACACCAACCAAGAGGAAAGGGACAAGGGCAAAACGGTCGAGGTGGGCCGCGCCTTCTTTGAGACTGACAAAAAACATTTTACAATTTTGGACGCGCCCGGACACAAGAGTTTTGTGCCCAACATGATTGGTGGCGCCGCCCAAGCCGATTTGGCGGTTTTAGTTATTTCAGCTAGGAAAGGTGAATTCGAAACTGGATTCGATAGAGGCGGGCAAACCCGGGAACACGCTATGCTTGCCAAAACCGCCGGAGTTAAATATTTAGTTGTTTTAGTTAATAAAATGGATGATCCCACTGTTAATTGGGACGAAGTTAGGTAATTTTGTGTTTTTTTGGTTTTTAATTTTTTTTTATTTATGAATAATTATTATTAGGTACAACGAATGCCGAGACAAAATACTTCCCTACCTCAAAAAGCTTGGCTTCAATCTCAATAAAGACCTTTTCTTCCTGCCCTGCTCGGGCCAACTCGGTCAGAATCTCAAGGAACCAGTAGAAAAATCTATTTGTCCTTGGTTCGATGGGCAAGCCTTTATTCCGTTTATTGATGACCTACCTACCCTCAGTAGGAAACAAGATGGTCCTTTTATGATGCCCATTGTGGACAAATACAAGGATATGGGCACTGTTGTTATGGGCAAAGTTGAAAGCGGCGAATGTCGAAAGGGACAAAGTTTGGTTATCATGCCTAATAGGGTAAGAATGGATTGATAAAAAAGATCCAGTTGGAATAATTACAAACACTTTTTTCTTCTACAGACTCCAGTTATTGTGGATATGCTTCTTAGTGACGAAGATGAAGTATCTAGAGTAGTCTCTGGCGAAAATGTCAAAATCAAAGTGAAAGGAGTGGAAGAAGAAGATGTCAGTCCTGGTTTTGTGCTTTGCGACTCTGTCAATCCTGTGCACACATGCAGAGTTTTTGACGCTCAGCTTGTTATAATTGAGCACAAATCTATTATTTGCGCCGGATACAGTGCTGTTATGCACATCCATTGTGCTGCAGAAGAAATAACCGTTAAGGTATAATAATTATTTTTATTTGAATCTAGATATTAATCATTATTTTTGTAGGCTTTAATCTGTTTAATTGACAAGAAAAGTGGAGATAAATCCAAGACTAGGCCTAGGTTCGTGAAACAAGATCAAGTAGCAATTATGAGAATAGAATGTGCGGGAGTTATTTGTCTAGAACCCTTTAAACTGTTTCCCCAAATGGGTAGATTTACATTAAGAGATGAGAGTAAGTACAAGGCAATTTTTATTTGATTAATTCTAATTGTTCAAAAATTACAGATAGAACGATTGCAATTGGCAAAGTCCTCAAACTGGTGGAGTAAACAGGTTTCTAGAGACTATATAGGCAGTAAAAAAAAATTGATATTTATCCTACAGAAAGGACGAATAACATCTGGACTTTGCTAGCACCACACAATGTTCAGTTTGCAACAAGAAGATTCACTCTCTCTGTGCGTGTAAATAGAAAGAAAAACAATTAATTAATTATGGGTGCGAAAAAAAAAATTGATCGATTATTCCTGCTTTAATTTTTAGTTTTTTTTCCCCTTTTTATGAAGTGAACACGATATTATTATCTGCCTTATTTAAGTTTATTAGTAACAGGTTATTTGGGTTGCTGTGTATATTGATTGTATTTATTTTTTTAATTCTTATCAGGGTGAGTGAAATTCAGTTTGGAAATTGAGTTTTTTAATTGTTTTTTTGGAATAAAACAATTAGAAAGCTTGGAATAAATGAAATTGAGTTTTTCTCAGTTATTTTATCTAAATATTTTAATTATTCTCAACTTTTTCACTATTTAATTTTGTCCCGAGATTATTTGAATGTTTACGAGAGCTGGAAAACCTCTAAAATTGTTCTTAAAAATTTGTGTATATATACAATGGTTTAACATTCAAGTTGGAAGACAAAGTTTGAGCCTCAAAAATTAGCAGTAGGTATAAGGCCACCTTAGACCAAAGTCCTCCATATTTTTCTTTTGGAGTTGATAAAAATTTCGAGATATATTGCAACATGGCAAAATCTTTTTGGGTCAGAGTGTTTCTCCCTAGATTCAGGTATTTTTTTCAATAGAAACACATAACTGAGGCTGGATTCTATAACGATTAGAGATCGTTATCGCTATCGCTATGGCAGTTATTGTCTTCTTCTCTCTTTTCGAAATCAATAGAGAGGGGACGTCAATAGAGATAGCGAAAATATCGCTATTCGTTACAGAATCCCGGCCTTGGGAGCTTAAGATTCATCTATTTTGACAATAATTTACAGTGGATTTGAAAATAATAACTTCAACTAAATTTCACTCCACCCTTTAAAACCGAGTCTTAATTGCTGCTAGAATTTAAAAGTTGCACTCTGCCCTTCTAAATCTAAGTTGTATTGTTAAAAATTTAGATTGTCATAGTGCAACAAACAATATTGTGTGGTGTTTTTTTTTTTCAGAAATCTTGCAAAGAGATGGAGGTATTTGAAAAGTTATTTTTACCAATTTTTTTTTTCAATAATATTATGGAATTGTTGTGAGACACAGTGGTGCTATTTGAAGGAAAAAAAAAATACCTCTTGTCTTATTATTTTCAAATTGACTTTTGACAAGTGGGCCAACTTTTAGTTAGAAAAATTATGGGATCCACTTTAATTTCTGCAGGATTGAAACACTGTTCCTGGTATTATACTTTTTCCATCAAAGTCCAACATAAAAACGAGTAATTATTGTGATATATATTATTTTTAATTCAAATACATTTTCACTTTTAAAAGCGAAAAGTTGGCCCTATAAAAACCAAAACCGCGTCTCATTTTTACTCCAATTTGCCTTTTCAAATGGATAATTTAAGCTCTGTTCCAACCGACATGAGAACCGTTCTAGAACGGTAATTTCCAGTCGATCAATTCATTTGGTAATTAGGATAAACGTTGAACTTATTGAAAAATAGATGGGCAACTGGAAATTACTGGTTCTCATGTCGGTTTGAACAGAGCTACTTTTTTCTTTGAATTGAGTGTAAACCATGTAAATAAAAAAAAAAAAACTAATAATAAAGAGAGTTTATATTTTCGTTACTCGAACCGTGACGAAAACTTAAAAATTATATTTAGCTTACTTTGTAATAATACTTGCAAAAAACAACAATTTTTTTGTTAAACTTTGTTTTTTAGTCTTTTATAATTATTATACAATTATTGAAATAATCAACAAAAAAAAAAAAATGTTGCTATCAATTTTATATATCAATAAAATTTAAAATTATATAGAAATGAAGTTTGAATTGTCTTGAAAATACTTACCAAGTTGAATTCTGGTTTGGATTTGGATAGGTTTATATGTTGGAGTCGAAATAAATTAAACTAGCTCTTATCAAGAGCCAGGAATAATCAAAAATACTGAGACCTCTAAAACTGGTTTGCTGTAATACTGACATCACAGAACACACTGACAGCATGGTCCTCTCCCTACAAGATTAGGTATGATTCCACTAAAATGTAGCAAGCAGCTTTCAAAGTTGCTTATGACAAGGTGCAACATAGGAAACGTGATGGTGAGGACAACCCTATGATTAAATATATAGGAATGGAATGTCAATTATTGTCGAGAAAAAGACGCCCCAGGAAAACTAGTTAATACCCCATTGTTGTATACTGTCAAAATGTAAGTGGGCTACGCACTGAGTTAGAATCTCAGAAACTGGCTGTGAATAGTTCATCCTATGATATAGTCTAAATTCACTATAGCTTGAGTATACATTCCTCCTAACATGCCAGAAACTTACTGCATAGCTCATAGTGAGGCAGTCAAGAATGTATTACGCCTCCAAAGTTCTCAGAAAATTTGTGTTTTTGGCAATTATAATCTGATGATGAATATGGAGTTCAAGTTAATTGCCCAGGTAGGTACATCGTATGGTGTTCAGATTGCTCAGTCTTTTGGATTTCTACATCTTTACCAAGTTATATATTCCTAACAACAGAAATTTATTCTTAGATCTTATTTTTTCTAATGACAGTAGGTTTAGGTTAAGGACCCAATATAAGATGATAGTTTTCACCATGTTAGGTATGTAATTGTTATAAGAAATTTGAATGGAAAACAGAAATCCAATTTATTTCAACAAGATTTTTATTATAACTTCACAAATGCTAATTATTTTGAACTCAATAATTTTTTAGCTAGTGTAAATTGGGAGCGATGCCTGTCTCGGTGTAACAATAATAAGGCTACCGAAATATTTAATGAGATACTGGGTATAGGTATTGCCTGTTTTGTTTCCTTAAAGAAATGCAGATCTTGCACATACCCAAAATGGTTCTCACATGATTTGTGTGATCTTACCTTCCAAAAAAGAAATGCACATAAGCTTATGTCAAATCTAGGTCACCCACGGACTACTTAAAATTTCCTGGGTTACGTTTGGAGTGCAAAAAAGTTAGAGAGGAATGTTGGTGCAATTACTTGGTTAAAGTTGATCTTGAGTTTAAAGCTAATTCCAGGTCATGGGGCAAACCACCTAGAAATTCTTTACCAAAAATGTGGGGAATTTGGAGGAATTTGTGGGAAATCTAGAGGAATTTGTGGGAAATTTAGAAGAATTTGTGAGGAATCTGAAGGAACTCATCCGAATTTATGAGAATTTGGGGAATTTATAGGGAATTTGGAGTCATTTATGGGGAATTTGGGAGAATTTGTGAGGAATTTAAAGGAAATTGTCAAGTATAAAAAAATTCAAAACAATAATGAATACAGTTTTTGTAGGCTGATTTCCAAGATTTTTCATGTTGTAATTTTCTACTGGAAAAATTTGAAATTCTGGGAAAATGAGCTCCTAACCTTCCTCTTTACATGCAAAAAGCTTCAAAATTTTCCCTTTACTAGTTTTCCAGGAAAACTTTAAAATATATGAGACTGTATTTTCAACTTATTCAGTTTTTGTAGGTTGATTTCCAAGATTTTTCATGTTGTTATTTTTCACTGGAAAAATTTGAAACTTTGGGAAAATGAGCTTCTCACCTTCCTCTTTACATGCAAAAAGTTTCAAAATTTTCCCTTTACTAGTTTTCCAGGAAATCTTTGAAATGTGTGAGACTATTTTCAATTAATTCAGTTATTGTCAGTTGATTTCTAAGATTTTTCATGTTGCTGTTTTCCACTGGAAAAATTTGAAATTTTGGGAAAATGAGCTTCATACGTTCTTCTTTACATTCAAAAAGTTTCAAAGTTTTCCCTTTACTAGTTTTCCAGGAAAACTCTGAAATGTGTGAGACTGTATTTTCAACTTATTCAGTTTTTGTAGGTTGATTTCCAAGATTTTTCATGTTGCTGTTTTCCACTGGAAAAATTTGAAATTTAGGCAAAATGAGCTTCTTACCTTTTTGTTTACATGCAAAAAGTTTCAAAATTTTCCCTTTACTAGTTTTCCAGGAAAACTTTGAAATATGTGAGACTGTATTTTCAATTAATTCATTTATTGTAGGTTGATTTTCAAAATTCCTCATGTTGTAATTTTCTACTGGAAAAATTTGAAATTCTGGGACCATGAGTTTTTAACCTTCCCCTTTACATGCAAAAAGTTTCAAAATTTTCCCTTCTCTAGTTTTCCAGGAAAACTCTGAAATGTGTGAGACTGTATTTTCAACTTATTCAGTTTTTGTAGGTTGATTTCCAAGATTTTTCATGTTGCTGTTTTCTCCTGGAAAAATTTGAAATTTTGGGAAAATGAGCTTCTTACCTTCTTCTTTACATGTAAAAAGTTTCAAAATTTTCCCTTTACTAGTTTTCCAGGAAAGTTTTGAAATGTGTGAGACTGTCTTTTCAATTAATTCAGTTATTGTAAGTTGATTTCCAAGATTTTTCATGTTGCTGTTTTCCACTGGAAAAATTTGAAATTTTGGGAAAATGAGCTTCTTACCTTCTTCTTTACATGTAAAAAGTTTCAAAATTTTCCCTTTACTAGTTTTCCAGGAAAACTTTGAAATGTGTGAGACTGTATTTTCAATTAATTCAGTTATTGTAAGTTGATTTCCAAGATTTTTCATGTTGCTGTTTTCCACTGGAAAAATTTGAAATTTTGGGAAAATGAGCTTCTTACCTTCTTCTTTACATGTAAAAAGTTTCAACATTTTCCCTTTACAAGTTTTCCAGGAAAACTTTGAAATGTGTGAGACTGTATTTTCAATTAATTCAGTTTTTGTAGGTTGATTTCCAAGATTTTTCATGTTGTTATTTTTCATTGGAAAAGTTTGAAACTTTGGGAAAATGAGCTTCTCACCTTCGTCTTTACATGCAAAAAGTTTCAAAATTTTCCCTTTACTAGTTTTCCAGGAAAACTTTAAAATGTGTGAGACTATATTTTTCAATTAATTCAGTTATTGTCAGTTGATTTCCAAGATTTTTCATGTTGCTGTTTTCCACTGGAAAAATTTGAAATTTTGGAAAAATGAGCTTCATACGTTCTTCTTTACATTCAAAAAGTTTCAAAGTTTTCCCTTTACTAGTTTTCCAGGAAAACTTTGAAATGTGTGAGACTGTATTTTCAATTAATTCAGTTATTGTAGGCTGATTTCTAAGATTTTTCATGTTGCTGTTTTCCACTGGAAAAATTTGTAATTTAGGCAAAATGAGCTTCTTACCTTTTTGTTTACATGCAAAAAGTTTCAAAATTTTCCCTTTACTAGTTTTCCAGAAAAACTTTGAAATATGTGAGACTGTATTTTCAATTAATTCAGTTATTGTAGGTTGATTTTCAAAATTCCTCATGTTGTAATTTTCTACTGGAAAAATTTGAAATTCTGGGACCATGAGTTTTTAACCTTCCCCTTTACATGCAAAAAGTTTCAAAATTTTCCCTTCTCTAGTTTTCCAGGAAAACTCTGAAATGTGTGAGACTGACTGTATTTTCAACTTATTCAGTTTTTGTAGGTTGATTTCCAAGATTTTTCATGTTGCTGTTTTCTCCTGGAAAAATTTGAAATTCTGGGAAAATGAGCTCCTCACTTTCCTCTTTACATGCAAAAAGTTTCAAAATTTTCCCTTTACTAGTTTTCCAGGAAAGTTTTGAAATGTGTGAGACTGTCTTTTCAATTAATTCAGTTATTGTAAGTTGATTTCCAAGATTTTTCATGTTGCTGTTTTCCACTGGAAAAATTGGAAATTTTGGGAAAATGAGCTTCTTACCTTCTTCTTTACATGTAAAAAGTTTCAAAATTTTCCCTTTACTAGTTTTCCAGGAAAGTTTTGAAATGTGTGAGACTGTATTTTCAATTGATTCAGTTTTTGTAGGTTGATTTCCAAGATTTTTCATGTTGTTATTTTTCATTGGAAAAGTTTGAAACTTTGGGAAAATGAGCTTCTCACCTTCGTCTTTACATGCAAAAAGTTTCAAAATTTTCCCTCCACTAGTTTTCCAGGAAAACTCTAAAATATTTGAGACAGTATTTTCAATTAATTCAGTTCTTGTAGGTTGATTTCCAAGATTTTTCATGTTGTAATTTTCTACTGGAAAAATTTGAAATTCTAGGAAAATAAGCTCCTCACCTTCCTCTTCACATGCAAAAAGTTTCAAAATTTTCTTTTCACTAGTTTTCCAGGAAAATTTTGAAAAATGTGAGACTGTATTTTTAATTATTTCAGTTATTATAGATTGATTTTCAAGATTCCTCATGTTGTAATTTTCTACTGGAAAAATTTGAAATTCTGGGAAAATGAGCTCCTCACTTTCCTCTTCACATACAAAAGTTTCAATTTTTTTTTTTTTAGAGGAATTTGTAGAGTATTGGGAGAAATTTGTGGTGTGATATTTGGAGGAATTTGTGATGGGATATCAAGAGGAATTTGTAAGAATTTTGAGGTAGGTACTTATGGAAATATATCCGTGATCTCAAATCAAATAATGCCTTTCCACAAACAATGTTTTACCATAATGAGAGTGCCACTATAGTGGCGAAGATGTAGCTAATTTATTTAAAAAATACTTTGAGACTGTTGAGGAACCTGGATTACTTCTCTATCTCTGAACTTTCAAAGAATTTTTCGAAGTCCTTTGATTTTGCGCCTATTTCTGTAGAGGAAATTTATGATAAGATCTCAAAAATACCTTGGGGCTAGACGAAATTCCCAATCTGTTGCTTGAACACTATCTGCACATCCCCATTGTATATCTTACCTAATCTATCTTTGACAGTTTATAGGTTTTTGTGTATAGCAACCAAGCCTGAGGCACAATCAAACCAATCAAAAACCAGGAATAATCAAAAATTGAATTTCAAGTTAAATTTCAACTATTTCTGGCTAATTTTAGTTCTCAAAACTGAAGGTTTTCAGAAAAACGCCCAAACCATGCAGTTGGCAATAAAATCATATTGATTATGAACTCACCAATAATCATGGCCCCATAAAAAAAAACTGATCATTAATAATGTAATTCTATTTTATTAAATACAAAAATTATTTTTTAACAACTTGTATAACATCTTCGTCGGCCATAATGTGAGAAAGGCCCACCCTTTGAGGTGAATACTTGGTACTAGTACCCCAGACTAATGCATATTTAAATTGAGCAGCTAAAGTCCTGTGAATTGCATGACAAACATGTTCCACAGTGACACCTTTTCTGAGGATCAGACCGTCAGAAAAATCCGGAGGTTGGCCTGGTTTCTTTGTGTAGACACGAATAAGACTCAAAAATTCCCAAAGCACTTGCAACAGATAGTCTAGATTTAGTTTCATATTACAACTGTGAAAAAATTTATATATTTTCAATTATTTAGTTGTTTGTACACTTACCTTACAACTACACTAGTAGGCATTCTAGCAATCCTGTCCACTTCCTCAATAGATATTTGATCAATTTTATTGTAAACATACAAACAAGGAAGATACACTCTATTAGCACAAATGACATCAATTAGTTCATCAGCAGTGCAATCCTCACGAAAAAGCACTTCCGCATTGAAAATTTTATACTCGTGCAAAATCAATTGGACCAACTTTTCATCAATCTTTGTCAAAGGACAAGTCGAGTTAAACGAAATACCACCCCCCTTTTTAATTTTAAAATAAATATTGGGTTTTTGCTTGTTTAGTCTGATGCCGACACTCTCCAGCTCTCTTTCCAGTAAGTCTTTGTGGACATCCTTTTTGGTGGCGTCCAGCATCATTAAAACTAAATCGGCAGTGCGTGCCACAGCTATTACCTGTCTACCTCTACCTTTGCCTTGTGCCGCACCTTCAATGATACCTGGCAAATCTAGTAATTGAATATTTGCCCCATTATAATCGATTACTCCTGGAATGCAAGTTAGAGTTGTGAATTCATAGGAGGCAGCTTCACTTTCGGTTTTTGTTAGTGTAGAAAGCAATGTTGACTGAAATTTGTTTAAGGTTATTATGTGTATTTTTGTTAGAGAGGGTTGTTTTTTTTTACCTTTCCAACTGAAGGGAAGCCTATAAGGGCCACTCTAGCGTCTCCACTCTTTAATACATCGAATCCTTCGCCCTTTTCACCTTTTTTAGAGGGTTCCAGTAATTGAGACCTGTACTTGGCTAGTTTTGCCTTCAGGAGACCCAAATGGTACTCGGTTGCTGCAAAAATTTTAAAGGTAAGTTAATTGTGGGGTGGTTTATGGTATGTGGCTTACCTTTATTCTTTTGGGTACGCGATATTTCTTTTTCGATTTCGGATATTTTCTCTAGAATACCCATTTTTCAGCAGCAAGATTTTCTTTGCAAAAGAAAAACCAAGAAAAACTACACACACACACAAGATTTGTGAGGTTAGGAAAAATGTCAAATTTTATCCATCAGTGAACTCAATTTACTTGTTTAGTTCATTGAAGGCAATCACTTTTAAGAGAAAGAAAGAGATGGCAATAAAATAGCAATTATTTTTAAAAAACAACAACATACATACATAACCAATTTATTAACAATAACAATGAATCTTTTTCCCAAAAAGCCCTATCCTAGCAGCAAGGAGGGCGTAATAAAGTGTATTTTCTTTTGCGAGTTTCACCACACTGCTGGGCCAATTATTTCCTGCCAGGTAACCACTACACCTTGTTGTGACCTTTTTCAATTGTAATTCAGTATGTATCAGTAATGTAATTCAGATTTTTCAAATATAATTGAGAAAATCTCAATAGGTCTGTTTTCAACTAGTCATAGAAATTCCAAACCAGTCAAGGCGAATTTCATTGGTTGAAAATTGTCAGAAAACTGGTTGTTGGCAATTTGCACCAATCAAAAACGCTCTGACTGGTTTATATTTCTTGTGAGTGAGAACACACCTATAATGAGAAAACTCTATTTATAATTTAGATTTTTTAAATGTACCTAATTCAGAAAATCTCAACTGAAATTTAACAATGTAATTAACCATCCCTGTATGTAATTAACCATCCCTGTATGTACTACTTACATAATAAGTACATAGATTTCTGCTTACATTTAAAACAGTAAACAGAAAAATGGACTCAAACTTGAAACATTGGAAAGTAATTTCTTCCCAATTTGAATTTGGCCTGGTTCTTGATTCCAGAGTGTTCAAAATGAATAAAACTAGACAACAAATAAATATTGAAATCTTACCATATGGGGTCCAGATTTTTTTGAAATTCCTACCATGACTTCTTGGTTATTAGTGCTGCCCTGTAAGAAAAAGTTTCTTGTTGGGAAAAGTTTTATTTTCAATGACTTACCTTATTATATTTGCCAATTGTAGCTTAAATAAGCCCAATTTCCACACCACACAAGTGCTTTCTCCTTTAGGCCTAATGCACTTTGAAATTAGACTTGTACAGCGAAAACCGTCAACTATCCATTAATTCAACCTTCACTCGCCAGCTAGGAAGGCAAAGGCACCACTGTAAACACTTACCATACATAGTGTATTAGTGTAACAAATGAGATCCAGGACAACTATGGCATTAGGCTCCCCAGGGGCTTCCCTGCCTTGAAGATTCAGTCGAATCATGAACTGTTTTTTGGGAATTGACACATTATGTAATTTCACCTGAAAGAGAAAAGCAATCAACTCTTGGATCCATGCCCATATGTTGTGGCTATGTCTACCATTCCCAGTCATTTGTCCAATGTCCAGAATGACAACCAGTTTGCAAGAAAGGCTGTCCAATGTCCAAAGCAATGATGACCTAACTGGAAAGACATTAAGACAAAATGGACATGGAATGTTAGATAAATGTATTATTATTATGCCTGCAAAAAACAAAAATATATTATTATTATTATTAACCATCCATAAGGCCTCTGCTGATCCAGGTGGTACATTTGTGCCATGTCCAGAGCTGAAACCAAAGGACACACTGGATTTAGGTAGTCATTTGTATCATATCCAGGGCCAAAACCCAGCTAGCTGCCTGGTTAAATTTGGAGAAGGGATGCCTGGAAAAAACAACTTTATGTTAGTGAAAATTCAAATGTTTTATATTAAAAATTACCTGCCTATTCAATTTCCTGAAAAAAAAATATTCAACGGTGTTCAGAGCATCCTACCCTAGAATTCCAATGGTGTCCCAGGGTATCCTACCTTACCCGAAAAGCATAAAATCCTCATAAACATATCATTTTCTGAAAAGCATGAAAATCATAACAACACGGTTCAGGAACAGGGAAAGGAAATCGTATCTCAAACCCCTGCCCACCCAAAAAAATAGGGTAAACAGATAAGGTAATAAATATGAGTAAGTAACATGAACAAAAAAACTAACTGCGCAGTAGATTAATATCCCGTATCCCGACGGCAAATAAGTGTGTAAATCCCCTGTTTCTAGTTAGTTACAGGACCGAATTAGTGTTAAATTTTTTTTAAAAACTTGTGAATAGATTTGTTCCAACAAAGCAAAAAACTGTACAATGTAATGTACCGTCAACATTCTGCGCAAAGCCTGAAATTTGTATACAGAGTAACTCCGAACGGGACGGTTTAGGAATTTTTTCAATGTTTTATAAATAGGTATTATATTATTTGGGCTTTTGGTAGATATTGATAAACAGTTGGGATTTTCTGAATTACATTTAAAAAATCTGAGGTTTTCTAAATTAAGTACGTAGGTAAATTTGGAAATTCTGAATTACAATTGACGTTTTGGGACAATACATTTGTGGTTTTCTAAATTACAATTGGAAAAGATATAAAAGTATCTTTTAAAGCGCCTCAATGTAATAATTTCCATTTTAAGGTCCCCGATAATTATATTTCAAAGGAACTCTTTGACAGCATTAGCGTTTATATAATTACTAAGGCTGAACTGCAACGGAGCACTATTACAGTGTAAGCATTTTTTACTACTTAATTATTGGATGTTGTTCCATCAGAAAATTAACTAATTTTTAGCTGAAAAATATAAATTTGTATTAGTTTATTTAGGGCTCGTTTATTCACCTTCTGATAAACTCTCAGGTATACAATCTGAGGGAAAGTACTTGAATTACTTTGTAATTATGTTCAAATACACTCAATTACAGTGAAATACACTTGATAACAAATCATTTACTGCTAATTAAATGTATTTGTAATCAGGTGTATAAATTCTATACTCCTGGAAACGGTAAATTTATTTTGCAGATAGTTATTAGCAAGTTTATCTGAAGATGAATAAACCAGGCTTTAGTCTTGTTAATATTGTTCATTAAATTATTGATAATTTATTTCAAATTTCCCTTGAAAATAATTATTTTACTGGTGTAGGGTGTACGTATTGTACAGGGTGCTGCAATTTGGAGTGTTTCAACAGGAAAAACATACTTCCAGACCAGATAGAGGAAAATTGACTAAAACGTCATGGAATCGATTTTCGAGAAACGTCGATTGTTAAAAACCGTATCGCGATATCTTTAATGGTACCATTAATACAGGGCGATTTCCGATTTTCCCCAATTATGAAAAATAGCTATAAGTTTTTTATTTATCAATTTTTTTTATTTCTGTAAAAACATTATGGAGACACTTTTTTGAGCACAATCCAGTGGCGGACTGAATTTTTTTCTATATCGCTCCGATTTCGAGATATAGACCAAAGTCCGATATTTTCAAATGTAACACCCTATATATTAATAGCTCATTAGATAGCTCTGTTTTTGCTGATTTCAATGATATAAAGTTCGATAGGTTTATCTCTAACAGTTTTCGAGAAAAAAAATTATATCTGTTTTTGTCGTAAGGATCAATGTGTTAGAAATGAATTTTATATGTGTAAGGAAAATGAGGAAGGTCTCTTTCTAACACATTGTTCCTTATGACTGAAACAGATATAATTTTTTTTCTCGAAAACTGTTAGAGATAAACCTATCGAACTTTATATCATTGAAATCAGCAAAAACAGAGCTATCCAATGAGCTATTAATATATAGGGTGTTACATTTGAAAATATCGGACTTTGGTCTATATCTCGAAATCGGAGCGATATAGAAAAAAATTTAGTCCGCCACTGGATTGTGCTCAAAAAAGTGTCTCCATAATGTTTTTACAGAAATAAAAAAAATTGATAAATAAAAAACTTATAGGTATTTTTCATAATTGGGGAAAATCGGAAATCGCCCTGTATCAATGGTACCATTGAAGATATCGCGATACGGTTTTTGACAATCGACGTTTCTCGAAAATCGATCTCATGACGTTTTAGTCAATTTTCCTCCATCTGGTCTGGAAGTATGTTTTTCCTGTTGAAACACTCCAAATTGCAGCACCCTGTACATATTATGTAAAACTAATTAATTTTTCTGATGGGGCTATATACCCAACTGAATGTATGTATCTAATTATCGATTTTTTGCAGTACCCTGGAAGACTACAAAGTTTTAGGATTCCCCATTAGAATCGACAACAAAAAATACGCCCGAAACGCTTTCCACTTCAACCTGTGCTTTGTGTGCGATAGCGACACCAGAACCGTACAATATGAGCACGTTGTTACGAAACTATCAGACTATTTATTGTCCATGGAAATTGAAAGTGCCTTTCTTTCGGCTAATAATCCGAGTGATAACCTGACGCCGATTTTAGAAAAAGTTTTACACGATTTGAACACAAAAGGGGAATGTGCTTTGACTGAAGGTCCTATTGCCACTCACCTAAAAGTTTGCAAAATTCGCAGTGATCCGCAGCTGGTGCTCGACCATCAAGTGCCCATATTTGTTAAGGCTTTGCCTGCAAATCAATGGGATTTGACTACTCAGCAAGTTACCCCTTATATCGATGGGTTCAATCATGTGGCTAGAATAGCAGCCCTTTCAGATGTAGATAACAGTTTAGTTAAAGCTTGCATACAAAATTTGGTATACTATAACGTAGTGGCTCTAGTGCCATTATTTCAATATGGAAATGTTTATTGCTCCACACCAAAATTACGCACCTTGGCTCACGATAACGAGTTACAAAAGCGTTGTTTGCACTACGTAACCCGTTCACATCGACAATTTCCAAATGTGCGAGACGTTTTTCGCGTTTATGCGGCAATGAGTCGCGGTACCACCATTAAAGATTTGTGCAGCAGGTTCAACTTGTGTAGTATGAGAATAAACGAAAGGAAACTGGTACAATTTGGAGTGCTCGAAGGACTTATAAGAAGGATCCAAAAGTATCCGATTTTGATTGGGGAAAATTCGGAGCTGCAAAAGTCGTTTACTGGAAGTTGTACTATGGACGAAGTTTGTTGCGCCACTGGAGTGGCGACGCAACAGTTGGAAGATCGGCTTGAACGGGATCATAATATTGTTTTGATGTGCAAATAATTTCGCTTTGTGACGACACTTTACTTATTTATCATTCTTTGATTCTCAGGCTGAAGTAACCTTTTTTTATTTGAGAGGCCTTGTTATATAACAATGTTTGAATGTTGTTTCCAGCGCTATTGTCTTATAGACACAGTATCTAAAAAGGCATTGTACTATTTCAGATATAACTATGTATATAAATTTAAAAAAATAAACATATGAATATTTATCCTAAATACAGTTTTACCACAGAACCACCCTGTATATTTTTTGATATCAACGCATTTTAAATGGGAAAGATCAAGTAGGTACCACTAGAGTTCAATTGAGCTACTATTTGGTACAACCGGGCCTAAAAGTGGATATTGGTTTTATGGTTTATGTACCTATCAAAAAAAGATTCAAAGACATCGTATGTTACAAAACTCAAGTCATCTGCTTAAAGACTTCAGGGCATTTTGATAAGACATCCTAAAGGCGTCTTCAACGAGATGTTTTAAAGACGTCTTTGACGTTTTATGCGCGAATCAAACGTCAAATTGTCTAGGCCTGCCCGTCCATTGGATGCGTAGTCGTACGACTTTGCGGTCGTGAATAATCGGACTATTTTGATCGTACGAATGTGAACGACTGTTCGATTCCTCACATAATGTAAATATTATAAAATTATATATTATTTCTTTTTATCATTGGCTAAAAAGTATTGCGCCACAAATCTCAACATCCCAACATCGCAGAGACCAAAAGGGTAGCTAGACGAACTTCTAGCAAGTTACAGCTTGTTACAGCAAGTAGTACTCTCTAAGCTCTCAGAGGGTCCGCACGCACAAAAATTTATTAACGCCGAAATTTGGCACACCCTTTTTTTCGCTTAAGTTTAATTTACTTATGTACTTCCCCTTTATGAAAAGTTGAATGCGATTTTCGTTATAAGATCCAGAATTAGTGACAGGAACCAGCACTTGATCTACAGTGAAAAAGACGTTTTCACGTTTTAACGCTTTTCTTGTGTAGGGAATAAGAACAATCCCGGACAAACGACTGCACCTCGTCTTAAGCGGCAGTCAGACTAGGCTGCTTTACCAGCCGCTGATGGCTGCTGGCTGCAAACAGCCACAGCAAGCAGCCGCTGGTTTGGGTTCAGATTGGTTTTAAAAAATAGTGGTAGATATTATTGCTGCTGCTAGCGAGAAAAATCAGTGTTGTGTCAATTTTATGTTGAATTTGGTGGAAAAAATATGTCTTCCTGTGGCTCCACGAAGAGAGGTTTCAATAAAATTATTGAGAATAGAAGCCAATAACGAGCTTTGCTAACAGGTTTTGTTCAAGGAAAAACGCATCTGGGTTAGAGATTGGATAAGTTGTAGAACTGAATTAGGGATTTCATCAAAACTTTTAAAAGAGCTTGCAGAGGAGGATCCTGACACCTATAAGAACCTGTTGAGATTGTCAGTTCCAAAATTCGAAGGATTTTTAGAATTATTTAACCAATTATAAGAAAAAAATATACTCAGTTGAGATCAGCTATTCCATGCAGAACCAAAATTGAGATTACTCATCACTCATCATAGTATCTTGCAACTGGAGACAGCTTCAAATCTCTTATGTACATTTAAAGGTCAGTGCCAGTGGTGCAGTGCAGGTGGGAATCTATTCATTTATGAGGCATCCCACAAATAAATATATTTCTCGTATTTATTCAGGAACTGAACTATTTCGTTTGATGTCCATACGAGTTCTGCCATTTTTGGCGAAACACTGACTCCTTGTTACAAATAGCAACTATTCACCAGCAGTGCGTGCGCGAGGGTTCCCATCAGCCGACTGAAACGTTGTTTACAGCATAAATGAAGTCACGTGATTAACCAGCTCGCTCCAATCTCGTACTTCGATAATTGAAACTCGGTATTGTATAAAAATGTTTCATTTATTAAAATTCTCGTTGAGGGGGGGACACTTAGACCTTAGTTAAAAATGTTGAGAGGCAACCCGACTGTTCAGAGTGAAGCTCGGAATCTGAATACCTTGCCTTCAACTATCTTCCACCAAGGAAGCCAAGTTTGGACCTCCCTAAAGAAGGGTATTTTACAATTTCCTAAAATTAATACTTATCCTAATAACATATTTTATTTAGGTGCTAAAATGTTACAAAACGTTTGTACAATCATGAACCTAAAATTAACCTAGGGGTAGTAATTCTCGCCATCTGTATAGTAAAAAGGGCCTGGGAAGGTACTATGTCTTTGGCGGCAAGAGTTCTTCCCATGGGCTGTATTTGACTTAGTTTTTATGTTTACACAATTGGGGTTCTGCAATAGAAATACCGACTCTCGAGATATTGGTGTGAACAGGACATTAGTTATATAATAATTCTAGCCGGCATCGTCTTTGAACCCCGTAACAGCATAAAGTATTGTTATAATAAAACTGAAACTTGGGACTTAATTACACATATGGTGGAACTTGTAAAAGAGAAAATGTAGTGAACATTAGGATTATTTAAGTACCTAATAATGAATTCACTACTTCACAACATTATGTTCAAGTGTGGCCTGTGTGTTGGTAGTGTTTAGATAAAAGTGATTGAAATAGACTTCGCAGATATATTCATAATATTCTGTAACTTTGTACCTACTTACCTTCACTATCCATTTTTTGCGCAACCTCCTTCCAGAATTTGCGTTGGACGTCCCTATAGTATGATATCTAATGTTTCTCATATCCCATAAATGCTTTTCTTTCTCTCGCCTCGTAAATTAGCTTCTCACAATCCATAATTATCCACAATATATGAAGAAATAAAAACCTGCACTGGCTATAAATTGCAAATACTAATCGAAAGTCGTTTGTAAACGTCCGACAAATCCCATTTAAATGAGAATGGGACTTTATTCTATGAATGGGAGTCACTAGTCGTTGGTCGCATGAAATGGAAACGGAAACTCAAGAGCCGGGAATAGAAAAAAATTGAGAAATAGAGGAGAAATGTAAGAAAAATTGAGAAAAAAAAGTCGCGTGCAGCTCAGTACACATGATAGAAGTGAATACTTATTTATCGCGATCTCTTTCTCTCTCTCTCCCTCATATTCATCATATTATGCTTCATCTCACTTGCGAGACGAAAATTTTATAAATCGTGTCGAGACGCGACTCTGAAAAATCACTTTCATGCGGCCAAAGAAGTATTCACTTCAAAAAAAATGCTAGAGATATGAGGATATTTGGTCTGTTTCTGCAGAAATCACAAACCAGTCAGAGCAAAATTTATTGGTTGAAAACAGTCAGAAAACTAGTTTCAACCAATGAAATTCACCCCGACTGGTTTGTGATTTCTGCAGAAACAGACCTATTAATTTCCAAACAATTTGGCCTAGGGGATTCACATGTCCATCGATACCCGAATGTTACACTTAACTGCCACGAGATGTCGCTAGAATCGAGAGGGATTTTACAAATTTACGACCCAAAAATACCTTATAATCGAATAAATAAACTTATTTGGCTTCAATTAGGGCCTAATTACATTACAATGCATCAAAATTAACATAATTTTGTTATAAAATAACAAAATAAGCCTGTAAACCATTTTCAAACAATTCGGCTATAGTAAAGCTACACTCAATTGTCACGAGATGGCGCAAGAAAACATGTGCCCCACTGTAACCAGGTTGATGTACGTTGTCTTTTTTCAATCGTGTTTATTAGAAAAAAATAAATAACAAATAGCTGGTGATCGGCTGTTGCAATCCAAGGAGAATACACACTCTGCCTCATTCTGACCTGTGCGAAATTCGCTCTTTTTGACATTCCCTGCGTCTTTATTCTCATCAAATTTTACTGATGGATCCACCATTCTATGTCGGTCATTGTCATTTTCCATTCACTAAACGAAGATAGCTAACTCATCGGTGAAGTCACCGATTAGAATAAAAAAGAGGGGATATCTTCGACAATTTGACGTTTTATGCGTGTATAAAACGTCAATTTGTCGATACAATGTCAAAAAAGAGCGAATTTCGCGCAAGTGAGAATAGGGCAATAAGGAGTGCTTATCAGCCTCGTTTTTGGTAATCGCCGTCATATTGGTGTGATACCATTTCCGACGTCATAACTAAGTCGTCAGCTGTTTGAACAGGCTACGTCAAGCAAGAGTCAAGGCAAGAAATGACATTCTGTCTACGTCACAACTGGTATTTTGGCGTGAGGGGATTTGTTACACTAGAGGCCTTACGAGGATAGGCCATCCTGTAGTAGTGGTGAGTGTGTATCATCCTTGAATGGAGTCAGCGTTTCTAAAACGGCCTCTTGACACGTGACGTGACATACATGGTTCTTTTCTAAAAAGTTGGGCGCTTGCTCTTTGCTATGCCACGAGTTATGACATGGCTCTCGTGTTGGGATGAATTTAATTTAATTTTTATTTTTTTCGGTTAATAAATACCAAAAATGCCCACAAAATGCTCACATCTTGCCAAAGCTCCCATTTTTACCCCCAGATATATCGAATGCTCACAAATGTGAGCAAATGCTCACACATTGGTAACACTGAACCGGAGCCACGTACCTAACACATGCGGAATATCTGTTTTCCGCAATCGGCTGCTTCACCGAGTGTCTTCGTGTCTTATTTTACCAGCTTGTATAAGAAAGAGATATAAATACTTTTTGCACTGATTTTACCAGTGGAATTCGTTATGGGATTCCCCTAAAACTTTTTGATTTTAGCGAATTCTATTGGTAGAATTAATACAAAAAATGTATTTATCTCTTTCTTATGCAAGCTAGTAGAGAAAGACACGAATACACTCAGTGTGCACTATCCCTTTGAGTAGAATTCGCTATAAATGGCATGCGGGCAATGCGGACACTGTGCAAACTAGAAAACAAGTTAGGGCCAGTTGCTGAAAAGTAAAAATATAAAAATAGTATAATATTCAACGAGCTGATAATTGAAAAAAAAAAAACCACTGTATGAGTAATCATTCACATTGATCAATAGAAAATAGATGTACCTATATTATGCATATTATTCAATACGTACTCATAGAAAAATAGATTTATTTGTAAGGTGTAGGGTACATATTTTTCGTCCATCGCAACGGTCTTGGGGGGGGGTAATTACCCCCATTACTCCCCGCTTGTATACGCCGGTGGTTAGAAATACACCTATTAAACCTTGTACCATTAGAATAAACACAAACTGAGTTATTAATATACATTGTTGTGGGTCCAATTTATCTGGAACCCAATTTGA